CCGCTCTTATTTTACACGCCATGACGTTTCCGTTTTAAACTATTGAACTACTTGTCGTTTACTCTTGCAGATGCACACTGTGTGCCGTTTTGCATTTTGTAGTTATGTGCGCATCACTATGTAATTTGGTGAATCAGGAAGCAACATTTTGGTACGTGGTCGTTTTATTGATCTTTTCAAAATTAGTGTAATTTTTTGGGATAAATTATATTAGTAAATTAATTGTTGTTCTACATATTACAACTGTACGAATACATAGATGTATGTATTTGTTTATTTATACATCGGTTTCGAAACTATATGGGACACATGAAAATGACAAACGTGTATTACAATATATACGGTGTTATTACTTGTTAATCACACCTAGAAAATCATTTATCATTTTTTAAAAACTATTATCCTTATAATACAATTATACACTTCCTATTCTCATATTTGACAGGTTTACAATGATAAAGTGGATCAATTATGAAAAATCTGAAGTAATTAACTATTTTTTAAAATATATAGGTATTTTTGCAATTACCCCTATAAATAATCACATTCATAGGGTGATAGGGTGATGCATAAAAGCTAATTAATATCATGTTCAGCATAACTGGTAAACATGCTTATCTTTAAGAAGACGAAAAAAACCGTGAGTCAATACGCAAAAACATAGCAATTTAAATGCGACAAGATCGATGTATATCCACGCTTTAATACACTGCATTTGATGACGAGGCATTTTCAATATAGATAAATCATTCTATTACACAACCAAAATGTTCAATGTAGATATATGTTATCGTTCAGTTTGGTATCTTGTCACCAACCATTTTCTCTTTTTTGATGATTGTTTGAACTTTGAAGTATGTATTATTATGTTAAAGGTTTTAGAACAACGACCATTCAAATTGATGATCGTTAAAAATATATATAAATACTTAGTTGGAAGACCTGGCTAACAACGAAGTATTTTGATAAAAGAAATTCTCTCCCATTGATATGTCGTCGTCCATGTTTGTATATTAGAATTAGGGCTTGCATATAAGAGTATCCAGTAACATTAATATAAAAACAATACTATCAGAATCTTAATTAGCATTTGAACAATAAAAATAATTTATGTATTTATGCATAGATTTAGACACATAACATTCAATATACAAGAGCCATATATGTGTAATAAATATGACTATATTAGAGTACTTAATTGAGCTATAAACAAACAATCTAGATTTTGAGAACATAAAAACCATGTAATGGCTAACAATAAAATCTTTGTTTAACCTAAATATACACTGATGCGTTGTTGTTGGTATAGAGGTTAAGGAACCGGTTGGTAATAGATACGTACATTTACGCATTCAAGAGACGGTATTTGTATCGATCCAAGAGGTGAAATTAGAAAAACTGTTAATTTTTTTTTACTCATATGAACTGAAACTCTCTCTCTCTCTCTAAAATCTAATATAAAGACAATATACTATGAGTAAGTTTCTCTCAGTAGAGCATTAATGGAGGTTTAGATAATCATAAATGCATTGCACCCTCTCTATACGCTCAGCAATAACTCCTTTTGCTTCTTGCAATCCACCTGTTCCCT